TGGCCTCGGGGACTGGCGCTGCAGCTGTTCAATTAATTAACAGCTCGGTTTATTTTTCACTACAAATAATAAATACCAGGTTTAATAAGTGAGTAAAACACAGAAAAAAACTACTCGGATTCATATCCATGAACTGCCACAAAGCTTTTTGTTTTTCACATTCTGACATTATTTTGCATTAAATCTCCATTCATTTACTCAGTCATTTGAGCCAAAACACTAATAAAAATCAATATCTATTAATCTTCATATATTTAGCATATTTGTGTTTTGTTTTTGACTGAAATCTATTCTGTTTTGCAGAAAGTGATGGTGCTGATGCCAAAAACAAGAACAGCAAGGGACGTCGGCCAAGAGTGCTCCTGTCCTCCAGGTAAGTGTTGAATATGTGGTTCTCAAATAATGGTATGCATACCATTGGAGGTACTCGGTCTTCCCTTCAGTGGTGAGTGGGGGACTGTGATTTTGTTATGTAAATAATCACGATGTTAAAGGCTCCAATCTGGAACTTTCCAAAATAGAAGTTGCCCTTGCAGACATCAAAGGGGGCAAAAGTGAAAGTGTGTGTGTGTGTGTAAACTCACCCGTGTGTGTGTGTGTGTGTGTAAACTCACCACTGTGTATCTGTAAAGGCGTGTCTCATTTCCTTATCTAAAAGTCTGATGGTATCCTGTGTGCAGTACTTCAGCAGTATTCAGGTTGTACAGTTTGGCTGCATGTGTTTTTTTTTATGGTGACGGTTGTCACCCCGAAGACCCACGGAGCGCAACACTCGGAGCAGATGAGTGGGGTCTGGGTCATCCGGCCCGACCCCTGCAGCTCTGTGTCAGTGTCAGATGCTCTCTGTAGTAGCTGGTACTGCCAGGTGCCAAGTTTGGCCACGATTGGCCGGCGGTGTTAATTACAGGACTCGTGACGGTCCCTAGAGTGTAGGACAGTGTGTTATCTTACACACTGATACCAGTCACTAAAAGAAAAGAATTGTACCTCTTCTACAGTACATGGGGGGGGGGGGGGGGGGGGGGGTAATATATGGCAAGATTTACAGTCAGAACAGACACGGCCCATAAGTGTGCTATCTGCCTATCTTCAGTTTGAGGGGATTTACACCCCTCACTCATCTTTTTCCCTCTGTGTCCTGGTGTGAATTGCCCTTCGACAACAGGTGAAAACGTTCACTGGTGGAATTTCTGGCCGCCTCTCAACACATTCTGTTTCCCAGTCTGAGGTCTGCTGTGCCAAGACCGTTTACTTGCTCTGTTTTCTCCCCGCTCTGCCAACTTGGTGCAAGTGTTCGTGTTCAGGAAAAAAAAAATCTGTCTTTTTGTGTCGTTGCCTCTTTTTTTTGTGTGTGTGTTGCCACCAGACGTAACTCGGTGGAGATGTAATCGGCGTATCACTTGTGACTGATTAGCGTTAGCCTCTCCAGCCAAATGACTACAGTGGATCCTAGTCTTATATCAGATGCTGCGTCCCCATTTTCCTGTCGATTTCACAGAATTGCTGTGTAATCGAGCCGTCCTGAAGCAGAGACGCACTCCCTCCACAGCTACTCACAAATCTATTTAAGGTCTTTCCTTTCCAGTTGCAGAAACAAAAGGCCAGTTTGTGTAGTGCGGCTTTGATGTAACCAAATGCCTGTGGACAAGTTGTTTTATTTTCTTCCCGACAATTAGATTGCACAATACAGACTGGTGTTATTTCTGAGGAGACTTTCTCAGACAAAAAAAACTGCTGCACGCTTCTTTGTGGGAAATATTTGAACATTTTAAATCGCTGCACGTCTGAGTCACTTCATGTGTGTTTACGTGTGGCTCTGCCTCTTCACTCCTGTGTGTGTGTGTGTGTGTGTGTGTGTGTCTGTGTGTGTGTAAGCATCACGGCGAGTGTGTGTGCGTGTCTGTGTCTCGGTCCGTGAGCCTTTGAGGGGCCGACAGAGGTGCCTCTCTCAACACGACACTGTAAGCAGAGAGCCCCTCTCTCCCTTTAGCACCAGGACTTTCCACCTGAAACTTGAATCTCTCACCACCAGGATCACACGCCAGAGTATTTCTGCCCCCTGTGTGTGAGAGTGCCACACAGCACGAGCAGCATTTCTGCTATTACTCCAATGCCCTTCACTCATCTTTCAGCGTGTGTGTGTGTGTGTGTGTGGACAGGGGCCCGACAGGGGGCAGCACCTCTGCAGCACTGTGAGAAAATATGAATTAGTGTGTGGCTTGTTCTGTAGACACAAGGTCTAGGAAAATCAAATGTAATTAAAAAAAAAAAAAACTTTAATAAAACATTGAGAAACAACTTATTTAAATCAAGGTTCTGAAAAATAAAATGTAAAAGTAAAATAATAACAGTAACAGAAAAATATAATTTCACTTTTTTAATAATTAAAAAAAGCTGAAAAGTCATTGATCTATTTTGACAAGTGCTATAATTAGAGCAGATTTTCTTTTTTCCATCAAACCCGAACGGAATTTTTTTGAAGCATTGCAGTTTGTATTCATTTCGACCAGATCTAGCTCTAATATGATTTTTATTTTTTAAACTTTTCCTAAAACCAAAAGAACATGTCCAAGGATCCTGATTCAGTGATCAGATGAGTCAAAGAAACAGGTTGTCACCTGGTGTTCCTGACTTTACCAGTAGGAGCTCATCCAAGTGCACGTTACTCAGTCACAGGTCTGACTTTTTGGACTTTTCTGGAAGCCCAGGCTCAGACTCCTGACATTGAAACTGTTCAGTGAATGCATCACTTCATCGTCTCTCCTCTCCCAGATCCTCTTCTATAATCTTTTTAATAAAACATTGAGAAACAACTTCTTTAAATCAAGGTTCTGAAAAATAAAACGTAAAAGTAAAATAATGACAGTCAACAGTAACAGAAAAATATAATTTCACTTTTTTAATAATTAAAAAAAGCTGAAAAGTCATTGATCTATTTTGACAAGTGCTATAATTAGAGCAGATTTTCTATTTTCCATCAAACCCGAACGGAAATTTTTTGAAGCATTGTTTGTATTCATTTTGACCAGATCTAGCTCTAATATGATTTTTATTTTTTAAACTTTTCCTAAAACCAAAAGAACATGTCCAAGGATCCTGATTCAGTGATCAGATGAGTCAAAGAAACAGGTTGTCACCTGGTGTTCCTGACTTTACCAGTAGGAGCTCATCCAAGTGCACGTTACTCAGTCACAGGTCTGACTTTTTGGACTTTTCTGGAAGCCCAGGCTCAGACTCCTGACATTGAAACTGTTCAGTGAATGCATCACTTCATCGTCTCTCCTCTCCCAGATCCTCTTCTCCAACACAGCAGTCATTAAGACCCAGACCCAGACCCAGACTCAGACCCAGACCCAGAGACCCAGACACAACAGTAACAGAAAAATATAATTTCACTTTTTTAATAATTAAAAAAAGCTGAAAAGTCATTGATCTATTTTGACAAGTGCTATAATTAGAGCAGATTTTCTATTTTCCATCAAACCCGAACGGAAATTTTTTGAAGCATTGCAGTTTGTATTCATTTCGACCAGATCTAGCTCTAATATGATTTTTATTTTTTAAACTTTTCCTAAAACCAAAAGAACATGTCCAAGGATCCTGATTCAGTGATCAGATGAGTCAAAGAAACAGGTTGTCACCTGGTGTTCCTGACTTTACCAGTAGGAGCTCATCCAAGTGCACGTTACTCAGTCACAGGTCTGACTTTTTGGACTTTTCTGGAAGCCCAGGCTCAGACTCCTGACATTGAAACTGTTCAGTGAATGCATCACTTCATCGTCTCTCCTCTCCCAGATCCTCTTCTCCAACACAGCAGTCATTAAGACCCAGACCCAGACTCACTGTGTGACAGAGACCACGTCCGCTTACAACGTTCAGTTGTTTGTAATTAGCACCAGTCTGTTCCCGGGGCAGACACACAACGTATGCTCGCAGACAAACGTACGCACAACCGCTTCACTCGCACATGAACGTAACACCTTTAAGGCGCTTCGGTTAACTGGAACCAGGCGAGGGCTTTATTTGTATTGTCATCTCTGCAATTTGGCTTTAAAAGCTCTTTAACAGGTCTAAACCTGAGTGGGGGTCAGGGGGGTGAACAGTCTGCCCACAGTGTTGGACAAAGCCCAAACCCTAAACCTTGGGCGACTGTTGTGACTAACGCACCAGTTCCTGAAGTCTGTGCAGCGTCAGGTCTTCATCATCTGTTGCTTTGCTTGGTTTTTTGTTTTTTTATGACTTATTCTCTTTAGTGCTGCCTGTCGGTGCACAATGCAACCAATTAGATGTCATCTCGTGCCTTAGGAGACCGTGACAGATCATCTGTTTTGCACATTTTTATTGGACGACCGCGCACATGTCGAAATACACGGTTTTGTTTTTTCCACATTTCACTGATATTATTTGAAGTTTGTGGTAAAACGTGCAGTGAAGTCAAATAAAACACGTTCTCCTCCGTTTAGTGTCAAAACATCGACGCTGTCCTCTGACCAATTAGTAGTAGTACGTGTGGTACCACAGTGACGAGGACATGATTAATTAATCATGTTAATTGATTATACGGTTAAATAATACAAATCCTAAAAAAGGACCATATTAGGGATTTAATGCCTACAGAGGCTAAGCTAACAGTAAAGCTAACATCCTTGCTTTACCTTCTATCTGCATCTCTTTGATGTGTTTTACTGCCACCTATTGGCTGTTATTTGAACTGCGTTCCTCAGAGAACTCCTGCACAGACAACAACATAAAACAACAACAACTTTGATCCCAATCCAACAAAAGGCAACTTTAATTGCTGAAAATGTGGCGAGACTTTCAACGTCTGTTTATTTGGAAAATCTGTGGAGTTCAGAAGGTGAGAACTCCACAAGAGGGAGCATTTTTGTCAACGCCCACACACACACTAAAACAGTCAGTGTGGGGCATCTTAGTTTCTGGGTTTACTGTGTTGGGGTGAAGAGGTCAAACCCCTGGATGTGCTGTGGGATCAATTTCCATCAGATAAGAACTCATTAATGCAGTAAATGAAAGCCCCCCCCCCTCCCCCCTCGTTTACATGTTTGTGTGTATTACTACATCAGAAAACCCCGGGCTCACAGCAGGGAGTCCTGAAACACACACAGTCCATATGACACTGTATTTTAGTTGCTCACACACAAAAAAAGAAATTAGCTCGTGCAGCTATTTGTGTTTTTATTGTTCCTGAGAATTCCTACATATGTGAGTTATTATTATTATTATTATATCCTGGTGTCTGTAGTCGTGTAAAGTTTCAAAGGCAGTGGATGAAGCCCGTCAGTCGTTTGCTGGAGTCTCAGATGGTTGTGGGTTAAACTGCTCACTCAGGAGGAGGAGGAGGAGGAGGGGAAA